TAGGTTACAATTACATTAGCATGACCAATTATGCAAATTAGGCGATGACGTCATTTGGCGACTTCTAGCGACTTTTAGCACAGCCAATAGCGATTTTCCTTACTGAGGAGTTGGCAACACTGATCCCCGCTCATCATTAATGACGAGCAAAAGGCTCAAGTGCCCAAAACCGCAGCGCTGCTAACAGGCTGACTGCAAATCAGCGCCCACAGACTCCCAGGTTAAAGTGTCAGACTTTGAAGTGGATCGAGTCTGTTGGGTTTATCTAGGCACCAACCCCGCTGGAACACAAGACCAACAAACTGCAGACAAAACAGAACAAGACGGAGCTCGCTGTCTTTGTGGCTCGCGAGGGAAGTTGAGGAAAAGATTCCTTCACCTGAACTCAACCAACTACTACTACAGCCCTTTTTATTGTCAGCAAGCAATCATTCATGAATATGCAAATACAAATACACGTGACAACCTTAAGCAGGCATCTCTGAACAACATCAGTGTCTGGATTCTGTGTGTGTATGTGTGTGTTTGTGTGTGTGTGTTTGTGTGTTTCCAGCCATACTATACATAGACACACGACCTTTCAATGAACTTAAACTGTATGCAGAAAAGCACAAGTCAGCGTCTTGCTAAACGATAAAAACAGGAACTTGCAATAGGTCGTGTGTCAAACACACATTTAAAGCACTTTTAAGAACAGCAAAGTCTAGTTCCTGCAGCTATAATGGAAATTATAACGTTGAGACTGCTTCCTCTCATCTCATGGTACACAAGTGCACACAGAGTCTTATCAGACCTAGTAAGGATATGATTTTTATCAGCATACAAATGATTATACATTTCTAAGCATAAACGACCATCTTAAATGATCAATCCTGACAGTTTCCTTCTTGGTTAATATTTTGTGTTGTTTTTATTTTGGACTGACAGACGGGTAGCTGATCAGTGGCTGCCAGGCCTCAGTTATACTAACTGGATGTGTGCTGTAGATCTCAAACCCCAGCTGGGCTCACAAAGAGTTTGAAAATGTTGCCAGGAACCAAACCAAAGACTTTTAAAAAGGAGCAGTAATATTTTCTAGTTAATTCAAAGACTCACAGGTAAAAAGTATTGGTTTAAAAGCTAACCAGCAACCTGCTGGATCACGAGCAGTCCAAACTATTTGGACTAAATGAAAATACTGTAACGCTGCATATGGGAGGAACATTTTGTGCGTATGTGCGGTGACACGAAGGACTTGCAACACTTGACAAACGGGCTGAGCACTGCATTTGTATTTTGCAGTGACGGAGCAACAAATGTTCTACGTGAAAAGTGAAGACGTCATCTTCAGGAAGCAGAATGTTGTCTTTAAATTTAAGGCTATGATTGATTTTGTCCCGTCATCTGTTTGATGCTGAGGAGGAGATCTGTG